AATTAGGTGAGTACAAAAAAAAGTACACACACAGACGCGATGAAGCTAAAGTATTCATCTTGCTGTACTCTCGTGTGTTGAGCTGTAGCTCTGGACCCCGGTGTTTGACCCATTAATCCTCCTCTGCTGTACACCGGCATCGAATCCGGACCTTGTAAAGCAAAAATAAAAAATGTTAAAAGTACAGAGATTTTCAATAAGATTGGTGCCAGAGCTAAGAGGGTTCATTTATGAACCTAGGCTAATGAACTACATCTCACAATCCTAGAGGATAGAAGGAACAGAGGAGATATGGTCACAACATACAAGATACTGAGGGGGGGGGGAATTATGTGGACAAGGATGACTCTTTTCAGTTTGAGAGAAGGCAGGACCAGGGGGGGGGGTAACACAGGAACAAGCTGGAAACACAAACGAGCCTAAGGAACGTAACAAAGTACTCCAACCCTGTAAGAGTAGTCAGGAAGTGGAGTACCGCTTCCTAGGGGCCTCGTAGCCTGGTGGATAGCGCGCAGGACTCGTAATTCTGTGGCGCGGGTTCGATTCCCGCACGAGGCAGAAACAAATGGGCAAAGTTTCTTTCACCCTGAATGCCCCTGTTACCTAGCAGTAAAATAGGTACCTGGGTGTTAGTCAGCTGTCCTGCTGCTTCCTGGGGGTGGAGGCCTGGTCGAGGACCGGGCCGCGGGGACACTAAAGCCCCGAAATCATCTCAAGATAACTTACTCTACAACTTACTCTAAAAGAGTAAGTTGTGGAAGTCACCTCCATCCATTATTTTCTCCTTCTCATCTCTCGTGCCTATTTATTGCCTCTCTCGACTTCCTCATCACAATCCACTTGAGAATGGTCCAGGACGGACCGAAACGTCGTCGTCCCTTCACCTTCTAGTGTGTGGTCTGGCCATCATACTTTAGCCACGTTATTGTGACTCATCGCTTGCATGACTTTAAGGCGAGATTCGAGAAAGAATTTGAAAGAGTAGCCAAGCTGATACGCAGCAGGTACAAGGCTAGTAGACGGGGGCATAAAGATCTATTGACCTCACAATAGATCTTGTGAGGTCAATAGATGTGAGTGGGTACCGGGGCAACAGACAGCGACCGGGAAGGTGCCCAGAAGTTGGGTACATTCTCTCTCTTCCCACTCAACACCATTTCCGTTTCAGTCAACCAGTCCGTCCTCCTAAGGGTTCGCCAAACGTCCAGAAAACGGTCAATTTAAAGTAGTCTCTCCTGACCTGCCAGAGGACCCAAAACAGAAAACGGGACAGTACGTCACTTTCGCCAGCCGCTTCCATTGTCTAGTACGACGATTTTTGGCCTTATGTGACGCATACGTGCGAAAAGCGACGTTCTTGGTAGGAGGACAGGTTGTAGGAGGACAGGCTGTAGGAGGACAGGTTGCAGGAGGACAGGTTGCAGGAGGACAGGCTGTAGGAGGACAGGTTGTAGGAGGACAGGTTGTAGGAGGACAGGCTGTAGGAGGACAGGCTGTAGGAGGACAGGCTGTAGGAGGACAGGCTGTAAGAGGACAGGCTGTAGGACAGGTTGTAGGAGCACAGGCTGTAGAAGGATAGGCTGTAGGAGGACAGGCTGTAGGAGGACAGGCTGTAGGAGGACAGGCTGTAGGAGGACAGGCTGTAGGAGGACAGGCTGTAGGAGGACAAGTTGTAGGAGGACAGGTTGTAAGAGGACAGGCTGCCAGTTCGTACACCGAATTGGTCCCGCCAGTTGAGGGGTGACTGAATTAACAAACTGTCCATGGAGAAGTCTTCCTCCTCCTACCCTCCTCTTTCTTCGATCTGTTTGGGGCTGTCTCGTAGTGTAAATATTGGTTTGTTGGATTGAGCTCCGGTGTGGATCAGAATGTGTGGCTGGCGTCGTGTCTCCATGTCCCGCACAACCCATCCTCTTAAAATGACCGAACTTACAGCAGCTGTTCGCTAAAACGTACAAAAATGGACTGTTGGAGCCAGAAAAGTTCACATTTTGCCTTACTGAATTACCCCCAAATTATATACTAAAAAAAAATTAAAATTGAACTAAGGAACTTGAACTGTTCAAGCAACCTTAAGCCGATCTTACGCCCAATCTGCATCAATAATAAAAAGAGGAATGCCTGTGTGTCTGTGCGAGGTTGGGGGATCATTCACTTGAAGGTTAGCATCACTAAACTCTCTTAAGATGAGAAATGAAGAGGTCAGGGTTAGCCCCAGTGCCCCACTTTAAGAAATATTGGCATTTAGAGTGACCCCCACTCTCTGCGATTTTCAAGAATTTAAGTCTGATAACGGGGTTATGTTTTACATAGTTATTTATCATTGCTTTATAATAATGCATTTGCTGAGAGGGAGGGAGGGAGAGATGAGGGGAGAGATGAGGGGGGGGTGGTGAGAGAAAGGGGCAGAGGGAAACATTAGGGAAGAGAGAGGTAAGGAGAAAAGGAATGGGATTAGACTGGTTAGACACGGAGAGGGAAGGAGAGTCAGGGGGGGGGGTGAGAGGGAAGGATAAAGTTGTAGAAGGGGGAACAGGGAGCACAGTGAGGGGAGGAGTTACGGGAGATGGAAAAGAGGAGAAGAGAGGCGTGGCAGGGAAAGGGATAACAAAGAGGAGAGAGAGACAGAGAGGGGGAGGGAGGGAGAGGGACAGAGAGAGGGGAGGGAGGGAGAGGAACAGAGAGAGGGGAGGGAGGTAGAGAAACAGAGAGGGGAGGGAGGGAGAGGGACAGAGAGAGAGAGGAGGGAGGGAGAGGAACAGAGAGAGAGGGGAGGCAGGTAGAGAAACAGAGAGGGGAGGGAGGGAGAGGGACAGAGAGAGAGAGGGGAGGGAGGGAGAGGAACAGAGAGAGAGGGGAGGGAGGGAGGGAGGGAGGGAGGGAGGGAGGGAGAGGGACAGAGAGAGAAGGAAGGGCAGAGACCTAGACAAAGCCATATACAACCTATCTAGTATAATATACATGTGCTAAACTAGGCTTAGGAACATTTAAATTTGGTTTTTGGCCTATTTCCTCGCGCCCTACAAAATTTTAATAGTACAGAGGGGGGGAAGAGATCAATCAGGGAAAAAGAACCAAGCCATTACAACTATATAGCACTGGGAAGGGGTCAGGATAAGGATTTGGGATGGAACAGGGGGAAAGGAATGGTGCCCAACCACTTGGACAATCGGGGTTAGGTTAGGGTAATAATTTTCTGACCCTATTAAACTAAAACAGTAATCAGAGTATAAACAATTTTGTTGCATTCAGAATAACAGCAAACCTTCGCCGGCTCATATGAGAAAATAGAAGTAAATTATAGAACATTTGTTCAGCAAATTTTTTTTTTAACAAAATAACATTTTCCAATAAGCCAGGAAGGCTCTTTGGCAAGTTCCTCACTCCCAGTAAAGGGGCCGGAATTGTTTACTAGTGAAGGCACTCACGGCTCTGGAGTCACGGCTCTGGAGTCACAACCCCACACAGAGTGAAACAGGACAATTTATCTGAAGTGATATGGTTGGACATTTGACACACAAAATGTGTTTTCAGAATACATCCCCCACCTCCCAACTGTGTCTCACAGCACCCAAGCTGTGCTGCACAGCACCCCAGCACCGTGGCTCCAAGGACACCCCGCCCCAAGCTGTGCCACACAGCACCCCAAGCTGAGCTACACAGCACCCCAGCTGTGCTACACAGCACCCCAGCTGTGCCTCACAGCACCCCAGTTGAGCTACACAGCACCCCAAGCTGTGCCACACAGCACCCCAGCACCGTGTCTCCAAGGACAACCCCCCCCCCGAGCTGTGCTACACCACCCCCCAGCTGTGCCACACAGCACCCCAGCACCGTGGCTCCAAGGACACCACCCCCCAGCTGTGCTACACAGCACCCAGCACCGTAGACACAAGCCGTTTAGCAAATTTAAGATGCTTCAGGGTCGATAATTAAAATGTACTCTTTAAAAATTATTATGTACATCATATATTACTTCAATGAAATGTAAACTGTATGAAATTTTACTGTATAATTTCGTAAAGTGAATACATTTTTCGTGTGTTGCTACGACACTGAAATGTTACAGCGACATAGGCATGTATTGTGCTCTATGTAAACTAGTACACTGCTACTCACATAGTATTTTTTCTCTCTATTTAACAGCATTTGGCCCACTCCATACATCCTCAAATCAAATGTTTATTCAGGTAAAAAGTACATATACATACATGATGAGTTACAAACATAATGTTGGATTTGTAGAAAGAGCCTAAAGCCTACAAGCCAAAGAGCCTAAAGCCAAAGAACAATGCCTAAAGCCACTATTACGCACAGCGTTTCGGCCAATTCAATTTCAATTTCTTTCTTTATTATGCACCCCATACCCATCCCGTGGGCGGTGGTGTAAAGGATTACTGAGGCACATAATCGGTTCAGGAACTCAAGGTGTGGGATAAAAAACCCACTTTAGACTAAAACTTAATTTAAGCTTTGATCTCAAGCAGTATTAAGTTGAAGAAAGGAAAAAAAGGTGGGTAGAAAGCCTCTTCCCTCACAAAGCCTAGTCATTAACGATGTTTCTTGCCCGAAACTATGTGTGTGTGGCTAGGACAGAATGTAAACATCAGTCATAAACTCTCACAAACCCCAATGTACCTTCTTGTATATATAATTAAATAACAACAAACGTGGTTTACCCTGTCCATAAAGGCCATGTAAATACTGATAACACTACATTACCACACAACAGTTACCAGAGTCACGAATCCTTTGGTGGGCGTTGGCAAATGGTCTCCTTTGGCAGTCAATAAAAATAAAAATTAGAAAGAAAACGACCAGTAATAAAGATATCGAATAGTTGATATCCTGACAGCCTGAAGAGCCGGCTATCATTTCCCCTTGCTACCCACTTAAGCTAAGTCCCCCCCCCTCCTGCAGGACTTAAGACCAATCTCCTGGTCCTAAGGTCCCCACCCGCCCTAGGAAGACCCCAGTGGTCTCCTTCGGGTCTACCAGGGTCATCCCCTGGCGGATATTGCTCCCAAATTTGGGAAGTTGTACCCCTTGGTGCCTGTCGACACTGTCCCTTGGTGCCTGTCCCTTGGTGCCTGTCGACACTGTCCCTTGGTGCCTGTCGACACTGTCCCTTGGTGCCTGTCGACACTGTCCCTTGGTCCCTGTCCCTTGGTGCCTGTCGACACTGTCCCTTGGTCCCTGTCGACACTGTCCCTTGGTCCCTGTCCCTTGGTGCCTGTCGACACTGTCCCTTGGTCCCTGTCCCTTGGTGCCTGTCGACACTGTCCCTTGGTCCCTGTCCCTTGGTGCCTGTCGACACTGTCCCTTGGTCCCTGTCCCTTGGTGCCTGTCGACACTGTCCCTTGGTCCCTGTCCCTTGGTGCCTGTCGACACTGTCCCTTGGTCCCTGTCCCTTGGTGCCTGTCGACACTGTCCCTTGGTCCCTGTCCCTTGGTGCCTGTCGACACTGTCCCTTGGTCCCTGTCCCTTGGTGCCTGTCGACACTGTCCCTTGGTCCCTGTCCCTTGGTGCCTGTCGACACTGTCCCTTGGTCCCTGTCGACACAGTCCCTTGGTGCCTGTCGACACAGTCCCTTGGTGCCTGTCGACACAGTCCCTTGGTGCCTGTCGACACAGTCCCTTGGTGCCTGTCGACACAGTCCCTTGGTGCCTGTCGACACAGTCCCTTGGTCCCTGTCGACACATTCCCTTGGTCCCTGTCGACACATTCCCTTGGTCCCTGTCGACACAGTCCCTTGGTCCCTGTCGACACAGTCCCTGGTCCCTGTCGACACAGTCCCTGGTCCCTGTCGACACAGTCCCTTGGTCCCTGTCGACACAGTCCCTGGTCCCTGTCGACACAGTCCCTTGGTGTCTGTCGACACTGTCCCTTGGTCCCTGTCGACACTGTCCCTTGGTCCCTGTCGACACAGTCCCTTGGTGCCTGTCGACACAGTCCCTTGGTGCCTGTCGACACTGTCCCTTGGTCCCTGTCGACACTGTCCCTTGGTCCCTGTCGACACTGTCCCTGTCGACACAGTCCCTTGGTGCCTGTCGACACTGTCCCTTGGTCCCTGTCGACACTGTCCCTTGGTCCCTGTCGACACAGTCCCTTGGTGCCTGTCGACGCTGTCCCATGGTCCCTGTCGACACTGTCCCTTGGTCCCTGTCGACACAGTCCCTTGGTGCCTGTCGACACAGTCCCTTGGTCCCTGTCGACACAGTCCCTTGGTGCCTGTCGACACTGTCCCATGGTCCCTGTCGACACTGTCCCTTGGTCCCTGTCGATACTGTCCCTTGGTCCCTGTCGACACAGTCCCTTGGTGCCTGTCGACACAGTCCCTTGGTGCCTGTCGACACTGTCCCTTGGTCCCTGTCGACACAGTCCCTGGTCCCTGTCGACACAGTAACTTGGTCCCTGTCGACACAGTCCCTTGGTGCCTGTCGACACTGTCCCTTGGTCCCTGTCGACACTGTCCCTTGGTGCCTGTCGACACTGTCCCTTGGTCCCTGTCGACACTGTCCCTTGGTCCCTGTCGACACTGTCCCTTGGTGCCTGTCGACACAGTCCCTTGGTGCCTGTCGACACTGTCCCTTGGTCCCTGTCGACACTGTCCCTTGGTCCCTGTCGACACTGTCCCTGTCGACACAGTCCCTTGGTGCCTGTCGACACTGTCCCTTGGTCCCTGTCGACACTGTCCCTTGGTGCCTGTCGACACTGTCCCTTGGTGCCTGTCGACACTGTCCCTTGGTCCCTGCCGACACTGTCCCTTGGTCCCTGTTGACACTGTCCCTTGGTCCCTGTCGACACTGTCCCTTGGTGCCTGTCGACACTGTCCCTTGGTCCCTGTCGACACTGTCCCTTGGTCCCTGTCGACACAGTCCCTTGGTGCCTGTCGACACAGTCCCTTGGTGCCTGTCGACACTGTCCCTTGGTCCCTGTCGACACTGTCCCTTGGTCCCTGTCGACACTGTCCCTTGGTCCCTGTCGACACTGTCCCTTGGTCCCTGTCGACACTGTCCCTTGGTCCCTGTCGACACAGTCCCTTGGTGCCTGTCGACACTGTCCCTTGGTGCCTGTCGACACTGTCCCTTGGTCCCTGTCGACACTGTCCCTTGGTCCCTGTCGACACTGTCCCTTGGTGCCTGTCGACACTGTCCCTTGGTCCCTGTCGACACTGTCCCTTGGTGCCTGTCGACACTGTCCCTTGGTCCCTGTTGACACTGTCCCTTGGTCCCTGTCGACACTGTCCCTTGGTGCCTGTTGACACTGTCCCTTGGTTTTGGGGATTTATCATGGGTAAAATTCCCTTTTTCACTGTTCTCGATATATTAAAAGCAAATTATACATTGTACTTTAATAGTTATAGGTGCGTATTTGTTAAATAAATATATATATATTTACCTGTAACGTCTGTACGACTCGGATGGCCTCATAGTCGTACACGACATTAAAGAGAATGATTAAATATGTCAAAAAACACAGCAGGCAAGTTTTTCAGGACCACAAAGTTGTGAACAGCGCGCCCGCACGACACGTCCTCCCACTCCCAGCAGCAGATGATAACTGGCCGGTGCTGGTGGCAGGGCTGCCAGACTTCGGGTGCTGGAAGTCACGAGTTCAATACAAGTCACGAATTTGATCTATAAAACTAGCCAAAATATTATTTTTAACGATTGATTCCCTTTACAGAGTACACAGGCCAGCTTATCTTAACAGTAGCCGGAAAGAATAGTAAGTAGCGACAAATATATCTGGCTTTTCATTTGGGTTACAAGTAGCCCAATAGCCTGGCGAGAGCACACCTTTACTCCGGGCCGTAGCAGCTGCCACAGTGTAACTTTTTTGTTATTCCTGTCAAATTAATTTTTTTCCCGTTTAAAGTTTGTGCTTAGTTGAAAGGCCGCGAGTATAGCAAGCTGTGAATGCGTACAGAGTCCTGCAGGAACTTTCCCTGCTGAACAAGTACAGTCACAAGCAAAAGTTTCTTTCATGGGCGGGGAGGGGTTAAAGAATTGTAGCATTTGGAGTTTTAAATTTCGACATTTTATACCGAAAATATGTAAATTAGTGAAACCGGCGGTTGGCCAGATTTTGCCCAAATTGACCAGCAGCTTTCAAAATACGATGCCTATCCGTAATATGATTCTTAGGCGTTATTTATGAGCGGAATTCAGGGTGATTGCACGTATTTGGAATTGTAAATTACGACTTTAAATACCTTCCAGCTACCCCCATCTAGCCGGAAGGTATAGGTCTATCTATACCTATGACGACTCTATAGTTCAATGATCAGCAAAGGTAATATAGCACAAGATCTAAGTTATTCGACAAGACTGAGTACTTGAGGTAAATGTATTAAACAATACTCAATAATAAACAATAATATTAAACAATTGTTTAATATATGTGTATCCATTGCTTATATTAAGTATATAAATATACGTGTTGGTGTTTAGAGAGGTAAATGAAATATTGCAAAGCAAATAGTTAACAGAACAACCTCAACCCAAACACAGGACAACACAGACAATGTAACAAAAACACACCAAATTATAACACACATAGTCCGAACCGGACACAAAATCAACCACAAAGCACAAATAATACGTATGTTTAACATAACAAAACCCCTGAAAGGCTCACAACACACAAACCGTGTCACACCGAAAACGCTACATCCCTGGAAACACAAACCGAAACTGTCTCTATTTTCCGCATGTTACAACTTGTAATAAAGTTGTTACATCTTGGCTTAACGTGTTTATGACGTATTAGAACGTTGTTACAACTTGCTATATTGGTTGTTATAACTGGTTAGGAGGTGTTAAAACTTGTTCGAACGTTGTACCAACGTCGTAGTTTCGGTGTGTGTTTGGCGGGATGCAAGTGGCGGAAGGGTGAAGACAACCCATACACACATTTTCGCGGATAATCCTTCTCCGGAAACTGCAAATAGTACTCCTCCCAAACCACCTGCAGGTCTTCCGGAATCGAACCGCCAGGCGGGGCCTTAGGGCACCTCAAAAAAATCAGGAACTCCTTTGAGAAAAACCCGCACCCCGGGCACCCACACGGTGGACGAACTCCCGGACCTCAGCCTCACCCAACGCCACACCAGCTTCCGACACAGCGCACCCCAAGACAAGGCGACCGCTTCCCCGGAAGAGGTCAGCAACACGGGGGGGGCGACACCACAGGGAACGAACGTTCAAGAGGTTGCGACACAGGAGCCGAAGCAGCAGGGGGGTGACCATATGTTGCCGCTGGTCCGTGGGGCATGCGGCACAGACACAGAGCCCTTGAGGACCATCACTAGGTCATAAGCCTCATCAGGCACCACAGGAGGGGACTCAACCTCCCATTCCGAGGAGCCCAGAGCAGGGGGCACACGGGGTCCCACACAGAAACCAACACGGAACCCCCAACACCTACGCCCGCATCCTCCGCATGAACCTCCACCACCACTGCCGAAACCTCCATATCACCAGGTGCAAAATATGACTCATCACCGTTTTCACTAATTGGCATATTTTCGGTATAAAAAGTCGTAATTTGAAACTGAAAATAGGTGCAGAGAGTGAGAATTCGTCTCAAAAATCAGGTTCATGAGTCAAATTTCCGAAATTTCAGATATTTTGATAACTGCAGGGGGGTTTGGGCTGTAACGGTTCTATTGTTACGTAAAGTATGGTGACAAATAAACACAGACACTAAGATACTATATATATATTTGGTCGAATATACAGAAGTACACAGGTGATACTTTGGTGGGAGTTGAGCGCACTGAGCGTCGGTACAGTATCTCGCAAGTGTCTGCTCTAGACCACACTTGAAAGTAGACTCTGGTTAATGTTTGCTATTCTGCTGCTTATATGCTCGGGCAACACCTCACCGTGTTGCCCGGGCAACGCCTTAACTCATTCATCTCCAAAGGTTGACAGGAATATTTAACAAAGCATTTGGAGCGAGTATATTATTGGGATAATCTACTCGCTACAGGGCAAAATATGACCCATCGCCGTTTTCAGTAATTGGCATATTTTCGGTATAAAAAGTCGCAATTTGAAAATGAAAATAGGTGCAGAGAGTGAGAATTCGTCTCAAAAATCAGGTTCCTGAGTCAAATTTCCGACATTTCAGATATTTTGAAAACTGCAGGGGAATTTGGGAAAAATATGACCTATCACCGTTTTCACTAATTGGCATATTTTCGGTATAAAAATTCGTAAAATTGCAAGCATAAGAAATATTGCCGGAACAACCGTGGACATTTTCAAGAGGAAACTAGATTTATTCCTCCAAGGAGTGCCGGACCAACCGGGCTGTGGTGGGTATGTGGGCCTGCGGGCCGCTCCAAGCAACAGCCTAGTGGACCAAACTCTCACAAGTCAAGCCTGGCCTCGGGCCGGGCTTGGGGAGTAGAAGAACTCCCAGAACCCCATCAACCAGGTATCAACGTAATTTGAAACTGAAAATAGGTGCAGAGAGTCAGAATTCGGCTCAAAAATCACGCTCAGGAGTCAAATTTCCGAAATTTCAGATATTTTGAAAACTGCAGGGGGGTTTGGGCAAAATATGACCCATCGCCGTTTTCAGTAATTGGCATATTTTCAGTATAAAAAGTTGTAATTTGAAAATTAAAATAGGTGCAGAGAGTCAGAATTCGGCTCAAAAATCACGCTCAGGAGTCAAATTTCCGACATTTCAGATATTTTGAAAACTGCAGGGGGGTTTGGGCAAAATATGACACATCGCCATTTTCAGTAATTGGCATATTTTCCTTGTAAAAAGTCGTAATTTGAAACTAAAAATATATGCAGAGTCAGAATTCGGCTCAAAAAATCACGCTCAGTAGTCAAATTTCCGACATTTCAATTATTTGGAAAACTGCAGGGGGGTTTGGGCAAAATATGACACATCGCCGTTTTCAGTAATTGGCATATTTTCCTTGTAAAAATCGTAATTTGAAACTAAAAATAGGTGCAGAGAGTGAGAATTCGGCTCAAAAACCACGCTCAGGAGTCAAATTTCAGTGGCAGGCATAGTTCTTCTACCAGTTCTTTTATGACTTTAGATTGAATTCCATCCCCACCTGGGGCTTTTGAATCTTTTAGTTTGTCGATGCTCTTCCTGATTATGTCGCATGTCATGGGTATCCTTAAATTCATTCTCTTCACCCTCCTTCAAACATTTGTGGGTGATGGGATGTCATTTAACCTTTCTAGTGCAAACACTGATGTAAAATATTCAGTGTGTTTGCTGCCCTTTTATCATCCATTATAATTTGGTTATTTCTTACCTTTTTAAAGGTCCTACAGTCCTTTGTTTTTACTTCTTACTGTATATAGGCACAGAACTTTGGATCTTTCTTTTATGTTTTCTTTCATAGTTTCTTTTGGCTGATCTGATTTCTTGGGTTATCTTGAGGTTATCTTGAGATGATTTCGGGGCTTTAGTGTCCCCGTGGCCCGGTCCTCGACCAGGCCTCCACCCCCAGGAAGTAGCCCATGACAGCTGACTAACACCCAGGTGCCTATTTCATTGCTAGGTAACAGGGGCATAGGGTGAAAGAAACTCTGCCCATTGTTTCTTGCCGGCGCCCGGGATCGAATCCGGGACCACAGGATCACAAGTCCAGTGTGCTGTCCACTCGGCCGACCGGCTCCCCGAGTGGCCGAGTTTGGTGCCCTTTTATGTATCTCATAATCAATGATCATCATCGTGGATGTATACATTCTCCAGAGGTTCCGCTTAGATATCAATTCTCGTTTTACTGCCTGTGTCATCCATCTAGTTCCCTTTTTTTTCTCTCCTTTATGTCACATTTTTTAACGAGTTCCGTGATGACTTTTTTCAAGTTATGCCATGACGCTTCCATGCCATGTTCACCTGTCAGCTCCCTCCAGATGTTTTGCAGCTCCTCTCTCATTCCTTGACAAGTGTCCCCGATGGTAATTTGGAAATTCGTCATCATGGACCTTTATGTGGTTTCTATATTTGTAGTCCATCTTAAAATATGGTGATCACATGAGGGGGGATTAGCTTTTCCCAACCTGAATTTGATCACTCATGCCCTCTTATGATGTTAGATCCACCTCATTCTGATCCACTTCAAGATGGCCCAAGGTGATCATACCGACAAGGTATAATACATTTAGCTGTTGGACATGTAAATCTGTTGTATAAAATCAAATACAGGTATACAAGAAATACAGTCTTGTTATAAAATGTATCTAAAATAATTTGTTAAAAGAAACTAAAACCTTAAACCCTGACTACAATAATAGAACGAGAAATATGCCTAAACTAGAAATCTAAACACCCTGCATAAATTAAAAATACAGTATTCTAGTCAATACTGTATTCTACAATTCTAGTCAAAAATACTAGTCACGTTTCCATAGAACTAAATTAAAACTTACAAAATAACCCTTTTACCTGCAGGTACAGTACTGTACGAACAGTTAATAATTATTGTGTACAGGCTGACTCGTATTCAACTGAGGGAGTCATTTTTACAATACTATGAAAGTATAGTGTGACTACAATGATGGAACTGTAATGTATATTGCATTTCTGGCTCAAAAATTAATAAATTTAAGTAAAATAAACACAAATTTTAAGAGCGGCACATTTTTTTTTAACTATCAATGGGAGAATAAACAAGAAAATCAAACTTCTGGTTTACATTTAATAACAAAGAAAATCACACGTTACAAATATTTCCTTTGACAGACATAATATTCACAAAAGAACAGGCAAGTGGATAATCATTTCAAGTCAGGTTATTCAAACTTCCAAGGGTTGTCTTTCACAGAGTGAATCAGTCGGATGGCTTGGTCATATGCCTGCATATCTGAAATAAAGATAATTTAGGTGTTACAGTATCTTGAGGTTATCTTGAGATGATTTCGGGGCTTTAGTGTCCCCGCGGCCCGGTCCTCGACCAGGCCTCCACCCCCAGGAAGCAGCCCGTGACAGCTGACTAACACCCAGGTACCTATTTTACTGCTAGGTAACAGGGGCATAGGGTGAAAGAAACTGCCCATTGTTTCTCGCCGGCACCCGGGATCGAACCCAGGACCACAGGATCACAAGTCCAGTGTGCTGTCGTCTGGGCCGACCGGCTCCCTGTTGTGTTGGTATCACCCATGTGTATTGCACTTCACCTACTCCACTCCGCATTTCCTTCCATGACTCCATGTGTAAAACACAGCTCAATCTTCATCATAACTATTTTCAGCCCACATACATACACTAACAAATTTATTTCTTAAGCAAGCATACTAATCTCTCAATATTTTCTTACAATGTACTGTACCTGTTAACATTTTATAAATTTTGCTAGAATTTACCTACTTAATATTATCTGTTAGATTAAGGACCTGCCTGAAACGCTGTGCGTACTAATGGTGTTCAAGAATGTAAACACAATGCTACGTACTCTCACAAACCCAATGAACCTTCTTGTATATTATAAATAAACTTTATGTAAATAAGTTTCAGTTCCATATATTATATTCCCCATATTAATGTTCCATACTAACATTCAATCCTTTTGTTATACAGTACTATTTATCTATCTTACCACTATTCCCAACAGCTTTGACCAAGCTATTTTAAATAGTATAATAATATTTAGACGATCGTCAATAACATTGTGGTACAAAAGTTGATTCACTTTTGACTGTTGTGTATATTTAAATATTGTTATTTTATAATATAATGGTTAAAATAATATATTGTATTTAAGTTTGTTTAAAAGTTTTTATGCAATGTACAGTACAATAGTTTAAAATTACATAAGGCAGATGCTAACACAGCTGCATCTCGACAGTCAAGCTTGGTAGTGTCTTGGGCAAACAAGCCTTGCCGATATAAACCTTTGTTTGTTCCGTTGAACAATCTGCACCAAACAAACTGTTCAGACCATCCAGGAATTTGTTAAAGTGCAGTTCATTAAGGCAAGGACCTACTATAAATATAATACTGTACTGTACATAATATTTTAATGTTACTACATCCCGATAAACAGTACTGAAAGTCTTGTAAAACCTACCAAAATTCTTGGCATCGTCCAGCGGGAAGGTGATGTACGACTTGCACACCAGTTGCCGGCCCTCGGCTACCCCGTGAATTTCAACGACACCTTCCAAAATTTCCTGTTTGAATATAATTTAATAATATAACTTTCCTCAGTAAAATAAAATATAAAGTTATAAAATAATTCTATACAGTATTATCATAATTAATTCAGACAAATGGCAAAAGCCATGCCACAGTAAAGAAACATCTAGTGTTAAATAAAATGGAATGCCATTTTTTTGATGGTTCTGGTACACTGGCCTCTGGTATCACACAAACATCCACAAGGCTCCTGGACTTACGCAAGGCAAATGAACACCAGGATCAGAATTTAGTGTAATAAAAGAGACAAGGAAAACATAGGGATCATAGATCAACTTAAGTACGTAAATTCACCCCGAAAGTACAAGCGAAGCAAAATAAACTATTAGTATGCATCTTGATGAATGAGAGAAAATATGGAAACACGTGAAGTGGTTTTTTAAAAAGATTAGCAACCAATGCACTAGTATCCAAGTACAGTACTGTACACCACCAGATGGTAGCCCAAGTCACCCAAGGGTTCATCTTGCCTGCTTGCCTTACTCTCAATTTGCCCCCAATCCCCATGGGAATTAAAAGCAAAGAAAGGCAGGGACAGTGAGCAACTGATGCCATCCAAAATAGGGAATTTCATTACTGTACCTTCAATGCTTGATTTCTGGATTGGCCCTCAGTACTATTCTCACAAACTATGCTGTGGGGCCCTTAGTACTATACTCCCATACCATGCTGTGGGGCCCTTAGTACTATACTCCCATACCATGCTGTGGGGCCCTCAGTACTATACTTTCATTCTATACTATGTAGCCCTCAGTACTATACTCCCATACCATGCTGTGGGGCCCTCAGTACTATACTCACATACTATACTATGTGGCCCTCAGTATTATACTCACATACTATACTATGTGGCCCTCAGTATTATACTCACATACTATACTATGTGGCCCTCAGTATTATACTCACATACTATACTATGTGGCCCTCAGTATTATACTCACATACTATACTATGTGGCCCTCAGTACTATACTCACATACTATACTATGTGGCCCTCAGTACTATACTCACATACTATACTATGTGGCCCTCAGTATTATACTCACATACTATACTATGTGGCCCTCAGTATTATACTCACATACTATACTATGTGGCCCTCAGTATTATACTCACATACTATACTATATGGCCCTCAGTACTATACTCACATACTATACTATGTAGCCACTATACTCACATACTATACTATGTAACCCTCAGTACTATACTCACATACTATACTATGTGGCCCTCAGTACTATACTCACATACTATACTATGTGGCCCCTCAGTACTATACTCACATACTATACTATGTGGCCCTCAGTACTATACTCACATACTATACTATGTAGCCACTATACTCACATACTATACTATGTAACCCTCAGTATTATACTCACATACTATACTATGTGGCCCTCAGTACTATACTCACATACTATACTATGTAACCCTCAGTACTATACTCACATACTATACTATGTGGCCCTCAGTACTATACTCACATACTATACTATGTGGCCCCTCAGTACTATACTCACATACTATACTATGTGGCCATCAGTACTATTCTAGAACCCCCAGTGTATATACATACTCCCAATGTTGCCTTGGAGAGGAAACCACCTTTGAGGTAAAGGAAACAGATCAATAAAGAACCAGACAAAAATGGCGGATTGACTTATTTGGTGAGGTCTAAAAGAAGGCTAAAAGGCTAAAACCCAAGGCTAAAAGAAGGATGAACTCAGTGACTAGAAAGATGCCCAAGTACCACACAATAATTGGATCCAAAGCTGTCTAACTCCCATTTACCTATTTACTGCTAGGTAACAGGGGCATCAGGGCGAAAGAAACATTTTGCCCATTTGTCTCCGCCTCTACCGGAGATCGAACCCGGAACTTCAGGATTACGAATCCGAAGTACTGTCCACCCAGCTGTCAAGACACCCGGAGCAACCGGCTGACCCGGTCTGCTTCACTCCTCTTCCCCCAAACAAGGAGGGAGGGAGGGAGGTGAGTTGAATGAGGTAGCACCAATTTCATGAAATTTTGATTGTTTACATATGGGGGGGAGGGAATTCTTTTAGTGATTTTGAGATCTTAATATATTATATACAGTAACTAGCAGTGGTCTGCTTTGCTTTGCTGACTTTGTGGGTGCATCCCCAGTGGTGGTGGATATGATTACAATTCACTGACAATTATATCATAGTGCCACTGTTCCATGTGCCTCATTAGAGGGGGGCCAGGTATTGGCTCATGGTCCCCAGTAGGCCTAAAAGAACTCCACAACTGATGGCAACTAGTCGTCTGGCACTAGATCTGTATTGTAGCTTCAGGGAGCCGCAAGGGGCTCCATCCACAAGAGTGAGATGAAATGTGAAGGAGGACAAGAATGACAAAGACCAGGCTGACTAAAGCACGGACAAGCACAGCTGGCCAGCAAGACAAACCAGTGAAACAGAATCCCACTACCACCTCCCACACGAGAGCAGCAAGCAACTTGGACAATATCCTTAAGGCAGCAACTGCATGAAAGTGGAGGTCCCAAAAAGGAGGGCACTCGATCCCCCACAGAGTAGATAATTCTGACGAGGAGAGACATCACCTGAATAGAGGAATTAGCCCCATAATGATAGAGGTATTACGTGGAGAAAAACATTACCTGTAGAGGCTGCTGGAACCTAACCTGCACCGGCTGGCCATCACTTGCCCTCACTGTAACCATTCTGCCTGAAGGGTCCACCTGAAAACAAATACAACATTAATTTTGTTGCTCTCAAAATGGAGATGCAAAATAAACTAAATCTATGAATGTCATGATTATTGCCAAAGAGAGAGAGAGAACCCATGGTCAACACATGTCCTGCCAGAAACACTATGCATGTTAGTGGCTTTGCAAAAATATAACAATCCCAATCTTATATAATCTCTCCAACCCTTCGTACCGTCTTGTGAATAAATTATTATTAATATTATGTCAAAATTTAATAATTGATGTAGTAAGTACAAGGTGAAGAGGTGTTGGGAATGGTGGCAGTACAGTATAGGAAAATGCATAACAAAGCAAGCATTAGTAGTCGTCTTAATGAAGCACTGTTTACAATAGATTTAGAATTTTGTAAGCTCCAGAAACTCTTAGTACATTATGTAAAATAAAGAGAAATGATCATTTACATCATCACCACAAATCATTATCATTGTTACGATTTTTTCTTCCTTCCTTTGCCATAAGACTTTCCAGAAACTCTCGAGTGTAAGTAAAGATTTTATAAGGTCCACAAGTGCTGTACTAGATGCACATACCAATCATGTAACATTACCACATATGCTGTACTAACTCATAAATAAAAACTTATTGATTGATTTAGACAACAGAAAGGATTGGTACCACAACTGAGCTACTTCTCAAGATTGATTAATATATATATATATATATATATTACAGGGCAAGCAAGGCAAAATAATATTAGTGCCACCGCTGCACCGGGCGTGACACCGCTGCACCGGGCGTGACACCGCTGCACCGGGCGTGACACCGCTGCACCGGGCGTGACACCGCTGCACCGGGCGTGACACCGCTGCACCGGGCGTGACACCGCTGCACCGGGCGTGACACCGCTGCACCGGGCGTGACACGACTGCACCGGGCGTGACACCGCTGCACCGGGCGTGACACCGCTGCACCGGGCGTGACACCGCTGCACCGGGCGTGACACCGCTGCACCGGGCGTGACACCGCTGCACCGGGAGTGACACCGCTGCACCGGGAGTGACACCGCTGCACCGGGCGTGACACCGCTGCACCGGGAGTGAAACCGCTGCATCGGGAGTGACACCGCTGCACCGGGAGTGACACCGCTGCACCGGGAGTGACACCGCTGCACCGGGAGTGACACCGCTGCACCGGGAGTGACACCGCTGCACCGGGAGTGACACCGCTGCACCGGGAGTGACACCGCTGCACCGGGAGTGACACCGCTGCACCGGGAGTGACACCGCTGCACCGGGCGTGACACCGCTGCACCGGGAGTGACACCGCTGCACCGGGAGTGACACCGCTGCACCGGGAGTGACACCGCTGCACCGGGAGTGACACCGCTGCACCGGGAGTGACACCGCTGCACCGGGAGTGACACGACTGCACCGGGCGTGACACCGCTGCACCGGGCGTGACACCGCTGCACCGGGCGTGACACCGCTGCACCGGGCGTGACACCGACACCGCTGCACCAGGAGTGCCACCAATGAACTAGCACTGCCACCACTAACCTTGTCCACCTCACCCATCAGCACCACGGGACGACTGTTGTACTGGGCCAGTAAGGCACCGTTGACCCGCGTGCGAGCCTCGCTTACAACACCTTCCATCTTCCTTCAGTCCCGTACACACGCTGATCCACCTCAAGCAGCCCCGGAAACACAGGAATACACCTCAACAAGTCCTATAGAGACGGAGAGACTCTATTGACTCAGCTCAACAAGTCCTATAGAGACGGGGAGACTCTGGCTCACAGGACCTTCCCGCGTAAAGTTGTAAACAAGCCTCATCACATGTTTACATCATATACAAAACCTCCACGGGGGCAAACACGCCTAAAATAGACTTTATAACATTTAAATAATGCATAGATTAATTATTTCCCTGTTTTTTTAGCTATAAATAACTTGGTTAGTTATTAGTGAATCTGTACTAGTGTGTGTGATCTCGACGTTCGGACATTCGTGGCGTTGGCTTCTCCGAATTTACTTGAATTTATGTGAGGGTCACCATCTCTCTAGTGGCCTCGACGAGGACAGGAAGCCTGCGGCTTGTCAAAGGTCCCTCCCATTTATGCTGGTGATTTTATCAGGATGAACTTTAATTGATTGATTGATGAAGATTAAGCCACCCAAAAGGTGGTACGGGCATGAATAACCCGTAAGTGGTGGCCCTTTTGAGCCATTACCAGTATCAATAGATGATACTGGAGATCTGTGGAGGTGCGACTGCACCCTGCGTGACGGGAGATGTCTCCCGGGGATGATGAACCTTAAAATGAATGCACTGTTTTCGCATGTACGGCTTCAGCGGGTAGGCAGTTCCATGGGTTCATATATCTATTTTTATCATAACTCTATGGATGAAAAAATAGGTTTTGTGGCCTGCATTGCGGCTTATTGAGCTTGCAACCTTGTTCGTGTTAGAGCAGTTTACGTTCAAGTACGTTTATTAAGACAATAAAAACCATCTCAAAGGGATAAAGTAGACACTCAACAAGCCACAATGTAGAACTGAGAACAGTAGATGCTTTTTCACCCACAGGGTCTTAAACCCATGGAACCGCCTACCCACAGAAGCCGTAAATGGCAAAAAAAATTAAATTTAAAATACAGCTTGGAGATGATACACGATTTAAAGATGTACACGTTCGCAAGTGCTTGCGTAACTACTTCGTGAATCCTCGGGTCTTCAACTTGAAAGCCAAGGACTTGGACTACCTATTCTACAGGAGCTGTTAAGACTTTTAGACTTGTCCGAATCTCTATATGCAAGTTATTAGCTTTGCGAGAATGTATTATCTACTCACCAAAATTTCACAACAGCCCATTGTACTTCAATGTTACTTTTTGCAATAAGAAAATAAACACAAAATGAAAATAGATTTAAAGTGAGCGCTAAAAAGGTGCAAAAGTTAAGCAGGCGATACAGCTAATGAATTTTTCGAGAAATAGATTTATTTTAAATGTTTATCATAATATTTATTATGAAACATTAATTGACGATATACAGTCAGACCAATAGCACTTATATCATTACTGAGTACTGAAAACTGTGTTAATTAAATGATTAAATAACGTTAACATAGATAAATAAGTAAATAGATGAATATGTGATTTACATACTAGTATAATAACTTACAGGCATAAAAAACAATTCTATATTTCAAAAGCATGTCACAGAGTATAGAGCTAGTCACCAATAGTCGTATTTAGGAATAATTTAATAATATCTCAAGACTTTATAAAGATGTTATGCGGCGCCTCGTCTCACATAAACAAACTGTCGGCGACTCTGTTGTTGATTCCTGCTCCTGGCGACTCTCACTGCCGGGCGACTCACTATTTGGCGACTTTTACTGCTTGGAGACTCACTAATTAAATCCTCTCACTGCCTAGCGACTCACCAGTAGGCTGTAGTCACGAGAGGAGGAACATTGGGGTGCACAGCGCCTGGTATAGAGGAAGAGGACCATGAGTGGTGGAGTCTATGGTGGAGGTGAGTGGTGGTAATTACCTAACAGTGCCTACGTCTAATTACCACAAGCTACACAAAGCTTCCTGGCAATACGTTAGTAATGAATAAATATGATAGGTTAGGCTGACCTGACCTTACCTAACCTAACCTAACTTAATCAAACCAAACTTAACCTAACCTAACCTAACCGACGCTTGGATCGTCGACTTGATTTGGCATCACCAGCTCTTTATTTTCGTCTAATGTCTTTATAAAAAGATACTTTTTCAGATTAAAATTATGTTTTTTGGTGTTGTACATTCAGCACCAACATTATAATGAGTAAATATATCATATTTAACGTATTGCCAGGAAGCTTTGTGAAGCTTGTGTAGCTTGTGGTAGCTTGCAATAATTAGATGGACCGCCTAACAGTGCTACGGGATAGGTAGGCCTAGCTCATTTTTTTTTGCCCTGGTGTTGGACCTGTTGCGCTATAATTTAACTTTCCTGACTTTGAATTCTTTTATCTAATCTGACCCTAAAGGTGGAGATGAATTTGGCTTCCACAACTCCTTTTCAGTGCATTGCACTTGCAGATACAAATAATGCAGTGCCCCCATGGGTCTGTATCCAAATAATGCAGTGCCCCCATGGGTCTGTATCCAAATAATGCAGTGCCCCCATGGGGTCTGTATCCAAATAATGCAGTGCCCCCGTGGGGTCTGTATCCAAATAATGCAGTGCCCCCATGGATCTGTATCCATATAGTGTATTAGTGGGGAAGCGAGCAAATTTATTAACACTTTTCAGCCTCCCGGCGAAGGTAAAAAAAAAAGCGGTATGTGCTCACGGCGTTTTGCCGCGTAAGCGTAAAAACAAAAATGTGAATACTCTTTACTCTCCTGACCTTAGTTCTTGAGCTACGTATTTCATTTTGGTACCAACGTGTTCGCAATAAAATTCTATAGAAGAACATCAGTAAAAAAAAGTCACGAAACGTATAGGGTTACCAGCACCAAATAAATAACTACGAAGATGACTCGCCGTGAGCGCCCAACAGCAACAAAATATTTTTACTCTTGGGATTGTTATCACCTCCACACTTGTCTTAAAGCGTTAATTTTGGTATCAATGGACTCGCAATGAAATTCCCAGCACAGTGATATGAATATAAGCGTAGAATAATGATTGCGGCCCGCCCGCAAGAGTGTGGGAAGAGGTGAAATTGTTACCCGGTATCGGTGACGGGACGACACACGGCGCTTTGAAAGTTTATACTTATTTCACTCTCATGACATTATTATTCTATGTACATCATTCATTTTTGTGTCAATGTGTTCGCAATAGAATGTTCTATGAGCCCGTAGGTAAAAAAGATCAACAAAGCGTAAGATAGAATAGCGCCAAATATAAAACAACGCTGGAACATATCAGTGAGAGTCAAACACACACGAAATGTTTTTACTTTTGTTATGTTTGTGAACCTTTCATGAACTTATTGTACCATGCAGCCTATTGGTGAGAAAGAGAGCCTCATGGCGCGCAGTTTGAAACAAACCCAAAGTAAATCGGATAAAAATTGAATTTTATACAAATATTTTAAAAGAGGACATAAATTTATGTCCACCATGCGGGAGCGGGTAGGCGAAACAGGACGCCGGGAGGAGTCCTCATCCGCAGAAAGTGTTAAAAGGGGCACATTTTCAATTTGTTTTTTAACTCTAGTTCACTTGCATAATAAAAGTTGAATCACATTATACTTTATTATTTTTTATCACAATGCCTTGGAAGAACTTGCTAGACCCTCTTCTGTTTGGCCAACTCTGTGTTTTAAACTGTTTACTTTATCTGCCCGAAACGCTGCGAGTACTAGTGGCTTTACAAGATTGTAATTACTATATTATGTATTCTCACAATCCCAATGTACCTTCTTGTATATATATAAATAAATAAATAAATAAATAAATAAATAATCTCATATGATACATTGGTTGGTGTTGACATCTGGTGAACCAAAACAAACCACGACGTTGCTATCTTCTCTGACGCTGGATAATCCCGTGTAGTTTCATTTCTCTCATGTCACAAGTCGCAATCCTAGATTGAGATAGTTAATGTTAATGGACCCCAGGTAAAAGTAAGCCGCCTCATAAAACACCTGTATATAATTTACCTGAATTTACCTGGGGGGTCATTAACACTAATGGTCTGAATGAGGACAGGAAGCCAACAGCTTATTAAAGGTCTCTCTCCCACCACATATTTGTGCTGTTGATTTTTTCTAGTTGGATTTTATAATTCAACAGTTCTGTTATTTACACCATCTGCAGGTATGCGGTTCCATGGGTGAAAAAGCATCTCCTGTTTTTGGTTCTACACTGTAGCTTGTTGAGCTTGATACCATTGCTCCTTGTTTGTGTTATACCTGACATTTTGAAGAAATTGTCCAGATCAACATTGTCCAATTTGTTAGTATTTTAAAAGTTTTCATAACATCTGCCCTGTCATGCCTGGTTTGTAGTGTTGTTATATCTGTGGCCCTCAAACATTCCTGGTATGAGAGATGACTTAGTTCTGGAATTATTATTATTTTTTTCTTTTTCCCAGTGTTGAACCTTCTCCAACGCAGCTATGTCTGTCTGAAGATGGTTGGGATCAGACCGCCGTCATGTCATCACCTGCTGGTTGCTTGTGCAGCTTTAGGGATTTTCTCATCTCTTCCTCGAGAGTTCCTCTTGGGCTTCAGCTGGTTTTCTTGGACCTGTGTGGGTTGGAAGCAGTCACCCAGGGATGGCACTTACATTACAGGCAGATGCTGGAGCCTCCATTCTGGACGCCTCCCAGGGCAGGGGCGACATGGACTTTGATGGTTAGTCCCCGACAGGAAAACGTCTGCTGGAAAATGAGCCAGCGAAAGTAGCCCCAGTGCAGGACACTGAGAGAATGTCCTCGTCTACAAGGGATGTTTCATTTAGATGTATCTTCTTCCTCATTTGTGGTGGTCCTTATCCAGTTGACGACAAGTCAGTGCCTCTTTATGAATCTCCATACCTTAAGTGCTGCACTCAAGGTTTGTGTGTTGTGGGCACATTGCCTGCCTGAGACAGTCCATTCCCTGGGTAGGGGTGCGGCTCTTAAGCTACATATCAGGGTGCAGGCTCTATCCCACATCCGGCTGTCGGACATAACCTCACTGGGGGGGACTGGCCAGTCAGATGTGGACAGTTGTTGTCCCAGGAGTAGTAGTTTCGGGCCTGGTATGGGAAGATCGAGCCAAATATAATAATAATAATACAGAGAGAGTTATCGCACTAATGTGATGTGTCAATGAGAAAATCCGTAGAAGCCGTGATGAGGGTTAAAACTTATGCTGTGGGTGTTCCCACGCTCACACCCTAGTCGACTAGGCCACAACATGGCATAAGAATTGCAACCTGGAGTTCTACTGAATACACAAGGATTTCTGAGGATTCTATTGAAGCCAGAACAGAATTTTCACACAATCCCCCCGTCCCCCCCGTGCACTTTGACTGTCTTTGCTTTGTCTTTTGCACATTTTGCTGTTTAGATTCACAATTTCAATTTGATAATTGTCCAAAATTAACCAATGTTTAGTATTTTTACCAACCTTATAATGTGTGGGGTTTATGTAGTAGTAGTAGGAGCCTCCAGACTTCCAGTGATTTCAGCAGAAATTTGGTTGTATGACATTTTTACAACTCACGGTGGTCTAGCGGTAGAGTATGCAGCCTGGCAATGATAGGTTTGAGCCCACCCCACAGCCCCAGTGGATTTTCTTTTTAGTATTTTTGTTCTAACAACTTTAGGCTACTGTTATGAAAATAAACCATTATGTTACTTTGTTCTTGCAGATGAGGTGGGAGCGCTGGTGTTTGATCCCGGCCACTCTTCACTGCGGGTTGGCTACGCCGGTGAAGATTCTCCCAAATTTGATATTCCATCGTGGGTTGGAGTTGTTGAGGACATAGACACCAACGAAAAGAAATATTATGTGGATACTGTTGCTCTCCATGTTCCCCGCAAAGGTATTACAGAACTAGTACTGCAGTTGTGTGGTCGCAAAGGTGTTACAATACTAGTACTGTAGTTGTATGACTACAGAGGTATTGCTAGCATGGTTATGGGTATAGGTATTGTTAGTACTGTACTGCAGTTGTGGGGTTACAAAGGTGTTATAATACTAGTAGTTGTATGACTACAGAGGTATTGCTAGCATAGTTATTGGTACAGATATTACTAGTAGGTGTTGTATGACTACAGAAGGGTTATTATTAATTGTGTGACAAGCAGGTATTAAAAGTTGTTATGGGGAACTCGCTATCCTGATATGTTTAACTGCAATATTCTATTTTTATATAGTCTGGCTTAACTTATTGCTTATAGATAATACTATGTAGATGTACATATGCTTTTAAGATGCTCCATGTTCATTTGCAACTGGTGTTTGAGTTGTTCGTAGGATTGGGGTTGGGGGGTTGGCACCTGTTGACAAACTGTAAAATAGGCCGTGTCCTTGCCTACAATGGAACTAATAGTTATGTGGAAAAGATCATCAAAAGGAAGGTAAATCAATATGTAGCCACTGATCAAGAGTGGCACTAAAGAGCCTCGCCCACCCATAAAACTCGGCTACAAGAATAGCTCGCAAGATAAGAAAGTCCTTAAAAGGCATAATTGATAGAAATGTGATCCCTTCTAACACTGAAAAGAATAGTCTACCATTTGCTACAAGACTGCCAGTTTGCTGATGAAGAACTCCCCTGACACCAAACGGAACACCTTAAGGGAGTGAATGTTGTCTATGCATTTGCATGCTCCCTTAGGGACTGTCATTCCCAAGAATCTTAGTATATATAGAGGCAATACTACAACATCTCTTTCAAGGTGCTTAGCAATGCACACCCAAGTAGGCTCTATCAGGGATCAAATTACTGTACTCTATTTCTACACATGCACCCAGTCCATTGACGGAAATATTCCGCATCTGGCCCCACACAATTGTAAAGTGAACTTTGGAGAGTTAATTTGTTCAACTTTCTTAACAAGTGAAGAACAAAAAAATACCTGTACTGTATAGAGAAAATTCAACCTAGAATTGATGATTAAACCACAACTCTGAAGATGGAGAAGTGACGCCGTTTCGGTTTGTCCTGGACCATTATCAAATTGTGTGATGATGTTAGCTTCTTCAGTCACATTATTGTGACTCATTGTCGACCTAGAATCATTAATCTATCACTTACTGCCATATTCAACATATACATTTATATCTATATAACATATACATTTATATCTAAACTCTATAATCTCTAAACTGTCTTTGTAAACTATCAGTATGTAATCTGTCAATATAATTACTGTACCTGTGTAATCTATCTAATCTATCTCAATCGTTGAACTCAACCTTCCCAAAGCTTATTTAAGGCTGTGTGACTAGGTCAAGGGTTACAAAATGGCTACTGCGATCTCCAGAGTTTGAGCAGCAAACTATACCCTTTCTTTCCTACTTGGGATAATTTATATCATGAAGAATTTGGTTAGTTTTGTTGATTGCTATAGTTATACATTTGTGAATTGTGAAACATGTAGTAAAAAGGCAGGATTAAAGAACATTTCCAAATAGGATGTAACTCGTGTTAAGTTTACATTGACGACCTAACGACGTTAATGATTTAAATATTTATTATATTGACCAGGAAGTGAGGTGGTGAACTACATGAAGGAAGGCATGATTGAGGATTGGGACACCTTTGAGAAAGTTTTGGACTACTCCTATGAGAAGTGCATCAAGAGTGAATCCCAGTACCATCCCATCCTCTTCTCAGAAGCCACGGTAATGCTCTCTTAAGTCTCGTTTCATTTACTGTATTTGTAAAGTGAAGGTCCTTTGGTTTTAGTTGTCCCAGGAAATGCTGCCAGGTTCTGTTTGCTACAGCTGTATTATTGCATTACAGTATCTGATGGGTTACTTTACTTTTGTTAGTTATATTACTGCAACATCAACCTGATCAACCAGGCTGTGATTTATACGTCAGGCTGTGAGCTGCCGTGTCCAATAGTCCAGCAACCAGGAGGCCTAGTCAAGGACTGGGTCACGAGGACGCTAAGCTCCGAAATTATCGCAAAGTAACCGCAAGGTAACATCTGGTAAATTGCTGGATTTCCCGAGATATCCTGAGATATCTGGCTGCCAGGATTAGTCGACATTCTCCACCAACTCATTGGGGAACTTTCCACAATACCCACCACAGACACTGGATAATGCTCAGTCTTGCCATAAATTCAACTAGAAAGTGCATTTGTGAAATAATCCATGACCACTCATTTTTGGATTACAAAGCCCATCAAAGAGTGCTCTAGCTAACTTGTGGATGGCCCACAATAAAAACCCAGGCTATACTTGTTATTTTCTTACCTGACTGGTCTAGGCAGCAGGTTGAATTGACTGGACTGGAACTATTCAGTAAAATGGTCTGTTAATCTCTCTGAACTTTTTATTTATGCATGGGCTTGTAGTACATTTGTAAATGTGGTAAAAGACTGAAACATTGCCACAAAAGAGGATTGTTACCTTATCTTTTACTGTCTTGGTTGTTTTGTTTTTCAGCATCAATATTACCTTTAATTTCTTAATTTCTGCACTTTTACTGCAGCAGGAGTAGTGGGAAGTTTAATGGGTGCCATGATGTAGGAATATAACTCAGAAAGCTTGTCAAGCACAACCATAAGAACTGTGAGAGTATTCAAAAGGCTCAAATTGCATTTGTTGAAACCTGCCTTCACTGGCATCAACAAAGTGCTCAAGCTGCTAGTCAGCTAGTACAGTTTGTTCAAGCTGCTAGCCAGCTAGTACAGTTTGCTCAAGCTGCTAGACTGCCAGAACAGTTTGTTCAAGCTGTTAGCTAGGGGAGCTGGTCGGCGGAGCGGACAGCACACGAGACTTGTGATCCTGTGGTCCTGGGTTTGATCCCAGGCGCCGGCGAGAAACAATGGGCAGGATTTCTTTCAACCTATGCCCCTGTTACCTAGCAGTAAATTAGGTACCTGGGTGTTAGTCAGCTGTCACGGGCTGCTTCCTGGGGGTGGAGGCCTGGTCGAGGACCAGGCCACGGGGACACTAAAAAAAAAGCCCCGAAATCATCTCAAGATAACCTCAAGAAGAGAAGATAGACTGTCAGTACAGTTTGTTCAAGCTGCTAGACAGCCACTGCAGTTTGCTCAAGCTGCTAGACAGCCAGTACAGTTTGTTCAAGCTGCTAGCAGCTAGTACAGTTTGTTCAAGCTGCTAGCCAGCTAGTACAGTTTGCTCAAGCCCATGCTCAACTTATGTAAAGCAAAATTTCATCCACACTTCTGAACTTGGTGTGAAAATAATAGCCTAAATACACTGAATCACTGTTCTCCAAAACGGCATAGCGTGCAGGGTGCTGGTAGTAGTAGTACAGTAGGAATCCATCAGTCTCGAGAGACTAAGGAGTTGCACTCGGGTTGTCGAGGCCGGAGTGTCTTCTCCAGGGTGCAAAGCCTGGGTAGGTCGATATGGAGGAGAAGCTGTTACCCATGCAGCAGGTACCCCCTCTCCACATTGCTGAAATTGTCCAATGGAAAGGCAAATACCAATACGCTTGGTTCCAGCACCATCACAGGAGCTGCCAGAATGAGGTTGAAGTTAATAGTAAACTGCCTTAGGGGCTCCAGCTCCGGATTTGTCCTCGAGGTTGACTCCTGAAGCCCGTCCCAAAAGGGGGTATGGCCATGAGGCAGCAGAGGTTTGATATCAGGGTTTTCCTGCCCCTAGATGAGCTACCTTCCCACGCTGTCGAGTCCCATCTACCCGGAGCAACTGGTTGTAAGGCGCCAGAGGCATGAGCTCGTGCATGAGGATGAGGAAACTGGTGCTGGTATTACTGTACTGTTTAACATACCGTCATACAGGTTGTCGGCGATTACGACTCGCAGAAAGCCGAGTAATGTAGCGATGGACTTCAGTATTGTAACATTTCTTAATTGTATACAAGTGCTGATGAAGAACTTGGATGTTGTTTAGCATTTTGATAATAAAGATGTTGGCATTTTAAGTTGGTATAATTTATTTTGTTGTGTATTTATACTTTCCCTTCTATTTCAGTGGAATGCAAGAGGCAAGAGAGAGCGACTTTGTGAGCTTGTATTTGAGAAGTATCAGGTTAGTCTGGACATTATTTTTAGATGTATTGTAGTTTCTTTGAAACATTAATTTTGTGTTAAATTATTTTGGAATTTGTGTTGATTTTGTTAACCAAAAAATTGATTTTTTTTATATACAGTACAGTATAACATAACATTAAATGCACTCTTTATTTTTTTTAATGTGTTCTAGGTACCTGCATTTTTCCTGGTGAAGTCTGCCGTTCTTGCTGCTTTTGCAAATGGCAGATCAACTGGCCTGGTCTTGGATTCTGGTGCTACTCACACTTCTGCAATTCCCGTTCATGATGGCTATGTTCTCCAGCATGCAATTGTCAAGTCCCCACTCGGTGGAGACTTCCTTCTGAACCAGGTAGGAGCTCGCTGAACTATGTTGATTATGAACAAGATTTATGAATCGTTTTGACTTTAAAGGTAAAATTTCTGACTGTTGTACTGACTTCAAAGTAGCCATGTACTCACCTAATTGTGCTTGCGGGGGTTGAGCTCTGGCTCTTTGGTCCCGCCTCTCAACCGTCAATCAACAGGTGTATAGGTTCCTGAGCCTATTGGGCTCTTATCATATCTACACTTGAAACTGTGTATAGAGTCAGCCTCCACCACATCACTTCCTAATGCATCCCATTTGTGGCCTAGGTGCTGTGTCTAGTAATTACATAAGTGTAGTTATAGGAGGAGAGCTACGCTCGGGGTGTCCCATCTTCCCAGTACTCTTTGTCGTATAATGCTTTGAAACCACTGACGGTTTTGGCCTCCACCACCTTCTCACTGAGCTTATTTGAATCGTGTACCACTCTGTTTGCCAAAGAAAACTTTCTAATGTTTTTGGAGAACAGATTGTATTCCAGAGATTTTTTCATGGGTACTCTCAATGTGTTAATATTTAATCTAAGATTTTGTTTATATTTTCAGGCAAATAACTTCCTTAAAGAAAATCAAGTGGATATAATCCCTACCTACATGATCGCTGACAAGCAATTAGTTAAGGAAGGTGATCGGCCCAAGTGGATAAGGAAGAATAATTTACCCGAGGTGACGGCCTCGTGGCACAACTACATGAAGCGGGAAGTAGTTCGTGACTTTCAACAGACGATGCTTCACTGCTCCGAAGCTCCTTATGATGAAGAAACCATCACCGGCATCCCCACAGAACCATACGAGTTTCCCTCTGGCTATAATAATGTGAGTTTTATGTAAACATGTTCTTTGTAGATGAGACTACTGTATCAAGTTACAAGATATATCAGTCAATTATATTACTGTATAGTAAAGTAATCCATTGATGGTGATACAAGCCAAGGAAGAAGTTATGATGAGGTGAGGTGATTATCAAGGGAAAGCGCCAAGCCTTTACGACTATATAGCACTGCGGAGGGGCGAAGATGAGGATTTGGGATGGGGCGAGGGGAAGGAATGGTGCCCAACCGCTTGGACGGTCAGGGATTGAACGCTGACCTGCATGAAGCAAGACCGCCGCTCTACCGTCCAGTCCAAGTGGTTGAAAGTCAGCTTAACATGACCAAAATATAAAAAATTCTGTCTGCCCAAAAGCAGTTTTGCTCTCAGATTGCTCCAGTACTATACTTGCCTAGTTGTACATGGCAGGAGTCCTGTACATGGCAGTCCTGCTCCTAGTCACTCTAGAAAGAGAACGCAGACAACTGTACAGAAGAAAAAAAATTGCAGAAATGCTTAATTACAGTACTGTACTTTGGCATCGTGATGACATTCACGCAGTTATTAAAACAATACTGTACTTGCAGTTCGGGTAATGACATTAACACAATCAATTCATTTTTGTTTTTTCTTATTAGTGAGTACTGTATAAACATTGTTAGTGAGTGAGTGAAAGAGTTTAACATTGGGTACCCTCGATCTTGCGCTCACGGGCAACGCCCGGCCTACCTTGCGATGCGTTGCGGGTGGCCCGCTGGGTCAGGAAAACACTCATATTTGATTACTGCAGTATGTATAGTGTTTGCTTGAAGGCCTGGTGGCTATACATATTTTCTCATTATTATGTAGTTTTTCTCAAGATATATCATCCATGTGGGTATTACTTTCCTAGTTACAGTACTTTATTTGGCTACCATGTTGGGCAATTGTCACTGGTTTAAAGTGGGACTATAACTTTTTCCACACTTGGTTGCCACCTGTGGAAAGGTTGCTGTTTACAAAGATGCTTGTGAAAATAATCTCTGGTGGACCCAAGATAAAATTCTGTCCAACTCAACTACAATACTTTATTTCCAAATCAATTAGGACTTTATTTTTTACACTGTCTTTTGACACATCTAGGATTCTGTTATAGTCCAAAATCCAGTGTGTCTGGTACTGTACTGTTAATTCCTCGCTTTGAACCAGCATACTGTACTTTTAATTGTTCATTTCCTCCTGTCTTAATCTGTTACCCAGTCTTTATGTCTGGATTTTATTCTTCACATGCAGTTTACTATTAATAAACTTTCAGAATAAGCTTGAATTCATTTTTCATTTGTTTACTATCCCTTTCTCAAAGTTCCTATCCTCTTCCTTCCAAAATCCATGTTGTGATTTTGATCGTGTTTGTGCTTCTGATACTTGTAGGTTAGGTCTCTTCCAATATTGGTTCCATTTTATGATTCTTAAACCTCTAGCACTTTTGCAATTTCTGTGTACACATTTGGGTTCCATTGCTACATGTATTTTTTGTTTTTAATTTGTATATCTTTTTACATCCTCTCTTGAGTTTCTCAATTTTATGGATTCCACTGAGGATCATGTCTCCACCCCTATTTTTCCTGTCCAGCATCATTAAGTTTAGTTTCCTCAGTCTATCCCTAAGTAAGCTATCAGGACAGATTGATGAAACAAAACTCAATGATCTGGATTATGTTTAGTGTCATTAAGTTTTGAGAATCTCTTAAACTTCGTGCTTTTTGAGATGGGGGCTCCACACTGGTGCGGCTTATGCACTGGTCAGATGTATGCTGTATGAAACCTTTTGAATGCTTCCATGTTTAGGTTCTTAAAGGATTTTCTGATGTCTGCCAGCTTTATATGTTGCTGATGTGTGTTAAAATAATTATACAATACTATTACATAAATATTAATAGGTATATTATTATTTTATAATGGTTTTCTGTTTCAGGAATATGGAACTGAACGCTACAGAATCACAGAGAGCCTATTCGATCCCAGTTACATCAAGGGTGTTGGGTCAACAATGCTTGGCATGTCACACGTTGTTTCAACAAGTATTGGCCTGTGTGATATTGACCTTCGACCGAGTCTCTACTCTGGTGTGATCGTCACGGGAGGAAACTCGCTCCTCAATGGTTATGTTGATCGTCTTAATCGGGACCTGTCGAGCCGAACGCCGCCTAATATGAGGTTCAAGTTGATTTCGGCCACAGGAACGACGGAAAGAAGATTTGGATCTTGGATTGGAGGTTCAATTCTTGCTTCATTGGGATCTTTCCAACAGATGTGGATCAGCAAGCAGGAGTATGAAGAATCGGGGAAGTCTCAGGTTGATCGAAAATGTCCGTGAAACTTATTATACAGGTTAATGTATAATTACTTTTATACATTAGACATTTTATACTTTTGGTTTTAGAATACCAAAAGCTTGTGTAATAGCAGTGCTGTATATGTTGCATGCCATAGTAGTATTCTCTTTTTTTAACATAATTGAAATTTACATGAATAGGTTTCATAAAATAAAATTGATTAAAAGTATCCTTGCCGTCTTGGTGTAAAATAATAGCAACACCGGTTTGCAAACATAATAAAAGATTTTAAATTGTAGTTAGCAGTGATAAAGGATTAGCCCAGAGAGATTGATACACCTATCTTTAAAGAAAAATTGCTATATAGTTTAAAACTTTTCAAGTTAAAACCCGTGTGTGTGTTAACTCGATCGGTTGTTGGTGAATAAGAACTCTATTATATGTAGCACTAATACTGCTTGCTTCCTGGCTTACCATAAATGCTATTCTCTCTCTCTGCAAACCTGTTAGTTCATCTTCCTTTACCCCTGCCGAACTAATCTGTCATGAGATTAATGGTTGGGAAGAGAGGTGCCTAGATGGCAGTGATGGCAAGTTAGGTACAGTGCACAGTACATGTATGTGATTAATGCTCAAGAAATGGCATTAGTGGAGCCATTTTTATGGGAAGTGAATGACTATTTCCCCAACAGTTGATATGGAGTACCTTACTCCCGGTCTGTGAACAACTAATTACTTTGTACATGATTTTTGCTAGCGTGATGATGCTAGGTATCCCGTGATCCTGCCGTGTGTGTGTGGAAGTGCGTATGAAAGGCAGTCACTCTGATTACCTCTGGGTGTTCAACATTTCTATTGCATTTTTGTCATAAAAGTGAAAAATATTGTAAAGGTGATGCCATTATCATCAATGGATAATAAAATTATTTGGTATAATGAGTTTTGTTTAGCAGAATTCTCATCCTTTGCATAAGCCATTACAACTATTCCAGACTCTGACACATCTGAAGGGAATGTTGTCAATTTCTCTTTCAAAATCTGCCACGCTCGTGTTGATATCAGTTATATTTACAGGGGTTTGGATATCACACATAAAGAAGTTGTCCGATCTTCGACTTTCATGGTGTTTATTGGAGTGCTAAACATGTCCTCATACTGCTTTTTTTTTAAGATTTCACTAATTTCTTTGTCATCCTCAGTGTATGAACCTTCACTCGTACGAATAGGTTCAATACTGGCAGTGGATTTTGCTTTTGATTTTGCATATGTGAAGAAATATTTTGGGGTTTTTCTTTATTTCTTGAATTGCTTCTGTTCTAGTTGCCTCTCTTCAATCTAATATTCAATCAATCGGTACCACAGAGACGACTACAAAACTAAGGGCTTCTGTACTTTTGCAGACCATTTGAACATTAATTGTTGAGTATGAGGACCTAAGATCAACCTCATAACAGTAAAACGCCACAGAAAGTACAGGCAAAACTAAACCAACTTTTGTCTTGACGAGAGAAGGAATCAAGGTAAGTGGGGATCTGCCCAGTGTCAACCATCCTTGTTCTAGTATCCAAGTGCACCACCAGATGGCCACTTGGGGTCACTTAAGGTGCCAACTCACCTGCTTCACTCACGTGCCTGGTACAAGTCCATTCGACTACTTGTGCAACAATTGCCAATACAGTATATATTTTTTGAAGTGGGATTTGCATTCCTTAGGATTTAGTTGTCCCATGGGAAAAATGCTTGGTATTTCTATATTCATCATGCTCCACAACTGTTTATGCTACCCCAGCTAACATGGCCTTAGCTGATTAGTTTGACCAAACTTTGTTGGGGTAAACCTTGATGTGTCTTGTCTTGATGTCCTCCTTGATGTCTGCTTGCATTTCTTGTTTTCTCACCAGTTATCTTTGTCTAGGGGGTTTAAAGATAACACCTCCCCTCAGGGGGTTATCTTCATTGAGGGCCCCCAGCAAATGCCTGCCTTGCTGGGGCTTCTCCACATAAGTTGCCCCAGTGTGTGGGTAGTGCGTGAGACTTGGTCCTCAACCAGCCCGTCCTAAGGTTTCCCAACGTCAAGAAAACTGTCAGTTTAAGGTGTCCTCTCCTAACCTGCCAGAGGACCCAAAACAGAAAACGTGAGAGTATGTCACTTTCATCAGCCGCTTCCATTTTCTAGTACGACAATTTTTGGCCTTATGTGACGCATACGAGCGAAATGTGACGTTCTTTGTAGGAGGACAGGTTGTAGGAGGACAGGTTGTAGGCGGACAGGTTGTAGGAGGACAGGTTGTAGGACAGGCTGTAGGCGGACAGGTTGTAGGAGGACAGGCTGCCCCTTCCACAGCAGAGCTGTGGAAGGGGCAGCCCCCAAAGCCACTTGAGCCTCAGCCCAATCGAAACCCCACCCTAACTCTGAAACACTCAGACAGTTTGGAGCCGGAAGCAGGGAGGGAGGAGCAGGGCAAACACGCCCACCTGGGAAGGGAGCAGGGGTGAGGACAAAACCAAAGTTGAAACGACCAACACCAACAAATCCTGGGCCCTAAAATCCAAATGGTGCAGCTCTGGGGCCTCCAACCGGGCAACTAGTCAGGCTTGTTGCAAGCAGGAGAGGCGAGCTTGCAATTCCGCCACCACCTGAATCCTCTCGTCTGCAGATGAGGAATGTGTAAAAAGAAGCACAAGCAGAGAACACATCCAGCAAAAGTCCAGGTCGATGGTGTCACCGACCCAACAGGCAATATGGCAGAGGCAGAAAGGGTAATCGTCGCACCGAGGTAGGGGCGACGAACAACCATCAACATTGCACAAGGCATGAGTGGACTCGAACTGAACCATGTTACCAACTGAGCCCACAAGGGTTTACCAGGGCCCGCAGGGTACATTAGCCCTAAGGGAAGCCCAGTCACTGTGGCCCGCTAAGCAGGTAGACCCCCCTACTTGGAAGCCGTCACATAGCTATAAGCACACTGCACAAGCCACAGAGCCGCCCCCCCCCCCCCTTCCAGCCAATAACACTTCCCTACCCGGCCCAAGACCCCTGACGTACCCCAAGGGCAAAGACTACATCAAGGAGCGAGTCCCGAACACCCAGGGAAGTCAACCCTTACGTATGAGTCACAGCCTGGTTGATCAGGTATCCTTTGGAGGTGCTTATCCAGTTCTCTCTTGAACACTGTGAGGGGGTCTGCCAGTTATGCCCCTTATGTGTAGTGGAAGCGTGTTGAACAGTCTCGTGTGTCTGATATGATGGAGTGCTCTCTCAAGAGTACCTGTTGCACCTCTGCTTTTCAACGGGGGTATTCTGCACATCCTGCCATGTCTTCTGGTCTCATGTGATGTTATTTCTGTGTGCAGGTTTGGGACCAGCCCCTCAATTATTTTCCACGTATAGATTATTATGTATCTCTCCCGCCTGCGCTCAAGGGAATACAGATTTAGGCTCTTTAGTCGGTCCCAGTAGTTTAGATGTTTTACTGAGTGGATTCTAGCAGTAAAGGATCTCTGCACGCTCCCCAGGTCAGCAATTTCTCCAGCTTTGAAAGGGGCTGTCATTGTGCAGCAGTACTCCACTCTAGAGAGCACAAGCTCTTTGAAAAGTATCATCATCGGTACAGCATCTCTAGTGTGAAAAGTTCTTGTTATCCAACCTGTCATTTTTCTTGCAGTTGTGATGGCTACTTTATTGTGTTCTTTGAAGGTAAGGTCTTCCAACATGAATACACCCAAATCCTTTACATTGCCTTTTCGTTCTATGTTATGATTTGCTTGAGTTTTATACGTGGTTTCCATTTTTATATTTTAATTTTTTCCGTAGCACATGAGCTGGAACTTATCTTCGTTAAACACCATATTATTTTCTGTAGCCCATAGAAAGATCTGATCTACATCTGATTGGAGGTTTGCCATGTCCTCTATGTTGCCTACTCTCATGAAGATCCTAGTGTCATCTGCAAAGGATGATACAGTGCTATAGGGTGTGTGTTCTTGTCTATGTCCGATATGAGGATGAGAAAAAATACTGGAGCAAGCACAGTACCCTGGGGGCTGAGCTCTTCACGGTTGATGGGCTGGATTTTATTTTGTTGACTATTACACATTGGGTTCTGTTAGTCAGGAAATTGTAAATCCATCTGCCTATTTTTCTGGTAATTCCTTTTGAACGCATTTTATGTGCAATAACGCCATGGTCACATTTGTCAAAGGCTTTTGCGAAATCTGTGTAAATTACATCAGCATTTTGTTTGTCTTCCATAGCATCTAATGCCATATCATAGTGGTCCAGCAACTGCGACAGGCAAGAGCGCCCTGTTCTGAAACCATGTTGTTCTGGGTTATGGAGATGCTATGATTCCATGTATTTTGTGATCTTACTTCTTAGCGCACTCTCAAAGATTTTTATGATGTGCGATGTTAGTGCTATCGGTCTGTAATTTTTTGCCTCTGCCTTATTTCCTCCTTAATGGAGTGGTGCTATCTCTGCTGTTTTTAGTATGTCAGGGATAACGTCAGTATCTAGGCTTTGTCTCCACAGAATGTGAAGGGCCTGCGATAGTGGTTTTTTACAGTTCTTGATGAATATGGAGTTCCAAGAATCCGGGCCTGGTGCAGAGTGCATAGGCATACTGTTTGCACCCGGGTGCATGCAGCTCCAAGTACAAAGAACACCTGGGCATCACACCACATACACAGCTGGCACAGCCACACAGGGCAAAATTCAGACAAGAAAGCGAGGCCAGAGGTGATGTCCGACCGCCAAGCACATGAGACGAGAACTGAGGGATGGACGGTGGGGTCGCCTGAGTAGGCTTCCCCTACCCCTTGTCGGGGAGGGGGGGGGGTGCTGCTAATGAGTGGGAGTACTTGTTTGTGTGCAGAGTTGCTAGATTCTCTTCATTTCTTTTCATTTGGGAAGAGTTCTTTGCTCTTTCGGGCTGTAGGTCGCAATTTTACAGCTAGTTGTTTGTTTTGGTTTGCCCATCTTTCTGGGTTACTGCCCCAGTCGATGGCGGGATATAACATACTTTACATGTAAAGTGCTCATAGGCCATTGCTCCCTGCACCTCTCTGAGGGGGCCAGGTTCTGGCTCGTGGTTCCCAGTAGGTTTAGAACTCCAAGTGACTGATGACCCCAAACTAATAAAGCACATATCAGTTTGGATAGCTTCAGGGAGCCGACAGGGCTCCTGTTTGATGGGGTTCTGGGAATTGTTCTACTCTCCAAGCCTGGCTTGACTTGTGAGAATTTGGTCCAACAGGCTGTTGCTTGGAGCAGCCCGCAGGCCCACATACCCATCACAGCCCGGTTGGTCCGGCACTCTTTGAAGAAAACAATTTAGTTTTCTCTTGAAGATGTCCTGCCTGCCAGAAAACTGACTATATATTACATCCTAGGCTCAAAGAGATTAAAAATCTTTAATTATATCACAGGCAAGAGCCTTGGTATCATGTTGAATATGCGAGAAGTCTTGGCATAGTGTTAATTAGGTGCCAAGTTAACAATTACCACACCATGCACCTAATGCATTTCCCCCATGCTGTAGGCTGGAAGGATAAAAACAATATATGGGTAAGTTAATGGGAGATGCTTGGTGTTCCTTGAATGTACACGAACCGATATTCCTTTTTTTTTAAATTATCATATTGCTTTTCTCTCTAGACATTTTTATGTATGGTGGAAAATGATGTACAGTGGTAACTCGGCTTACGAGCACCCCTGGTTACATGTTTTTCGGGTTACGGGCAGGATTTGCTCGGAAAATTTGTATCGGGATACGAGGGTGTTGATACGAACCAACTAGCGCGTGTACGGGCCAACTAGCGTGTGGTGGCACGGCAATTGCCGCTCAGTTTACCAGTGCCTCGCGCCCAGTGACTATCCCGCCTCAATTCTTCACTAGGATTTACAGTGTTTTGTTGGATATTTGGCCATTTGA